TTCCATACATGGAAAAGGGATTTTCCTTTCTGTTCAGAATTTTTTTTATATTTCCTCTCAGGCCATTTTGACAACTCTGGTACCTGTGCCTAGTAAATTTTATATACTTTGTAAATAAATATATAAAGGTTTTTGACCGGAACTATTCATTTTTTCCAATGCATAGGGGGCTACTTTCTGGGGTTTACAAGAGATGTTTAAAAAGACATTCGTGTCAGCTAATGTGACCAATATTGTTTAACACCTTCTTATTAATATTTTTTTCATGAATGCAAATACCTGATTATTTTAGGAAGGAGCGTACATGTATTATAGATTTTTAATATACCGAAAATCGCTATTTCTGGGGATTGCGTAATTCTAAAAAAATTCAAATAAATTTAAAAGGTAAAATAAACAAAGGATGCTTTGTATTAAAATATTATTTCAAATCAGTAGAATTGAATGCTATTAACGACATCTGAATAAATAGGCTAGAAAAGGCTTATATACCAACTTTGTACATCTGCACTTTAATTTTAAACACGACAGGATTTGTAATTTTTTCCGTATAAATTAATAATTTCTATATACTTTGGAAACTCAAATCAAATATTTTAATACACTTTCCTCGAGCTCTTTTCTGCAGTTTTCCTGAAATTTTATGTGGGTCCGAGGTGTTATTTCAGTTTAACAGCGATTCTTTACGTTGCCATTAATTTGATTTGTTTGGTTGTTGCGGGGGGAGGGGGGGGGTATTTTTATTCTTAACCTATTCAACGTTGGAGTTGAATCTTGTATCTTACTCCAAGAACTTAAGATTGATTGTGACATTTGGATGAAAGGTCAAGGTCATTACAAAACAACCACCTCTTTAACTTCTATCCTGCCAACCGAAATAAACTCTGAAAGGTGTTTCTAGATACATGTACATATACTTCATGTTTCTTTTTACCCTTGGGTCAAGGACAAAGGTTAAGGTCGATTTCAAGTTCACAGGTCAAGGTAATTTTGATAAATAGCTAATATGAACATTTTATTCAGGTAACCAGTGACCTTGACCTCAGTTTCAAGGTCAAGGGTCAAAAGATCTGCATACTTCAGTATGTTACATGTCTTGACATTTAGAAGTTCTTAATTCTGCATGAACATCAAAAACTCAAGTATACTGTCGTTTAATGCATTGTGTGCGGGCGCATGTGCATGCACGTCCTTGCATTTACTTTTGTTAGTGGTATAATGTAGGCATTCATTATATTTATTCATATTCGAAATTTCACCCTGTATTATTGAGAACCAAGAAAGTTGTAGGCATTTAACGTTTTAGCCAATCAGATTGCAGCACACGTGCATGTGCGTGCGTTCATAATTATTCTTATATATCATGCTGTAGATCTTCATAACGTATGACTATCTTCAAAATTTCAAAGGATTTTGTCAGAAAACAAAAAAGATATTAGACTTTTAGTTTCAGCCAATCGGAGCGAAGCGCACGTGCATGCGCGTGAGATCTTGCTATTTTGACTATGTCATCATGTCTATACTACTAATATATCCTTATATTATGAGTTTCAAAGCATTTCATCCAAAATTTAAAAAGTTACGGCTATATCTATTATATTGGTCATTTCACGTGTTACACGTGTGCGCACACGCACGCACGTGCGCGCAAAATGACCTTCGTTCCGCACATCTACATAACATACCTAGTGATCCTAAAAAGGTTTCACCTAGATCGGATGAGTAGTTTACGAGAACACTCGCGGACAAAAAAGTACCGGAGAACAAAGAAAAAATTCAGAAAAAGTAAAAACAATATGTTCCCAAACTTCGTTTGGGGAACATAATAAGAAGAAGAAACAGAGTAAAAACAATATGTTCCCCAACTTCGTTTGGGGAACATAATAATATTGATAATGCTTTGAAATCTTAAATAAGTATTAAGCCGTATTTCGTTTTGAAAATATTGATTCCTAAATATTTTGAACTATTTTGAGTGAAGAATCGCGCGTTTGCGTTAATAATCGTGTAAGATCGTGTAACGTGTAGAATCGTGAACGTGAAAGATCGTAACAGGTTTAATCGTGCGTTAATCGTGCGGAATCGTTCGTGTAAGTTGTCAACAATAACGTTCCAGCCACTGTACCTAGGAGCAGAGAAGAAGATTTTCAAAGAATTCATGTATTTTCACTATTTATAATCAATAGAGCCCCACCCTAACACCAGAACCCCTGATCCTGGGGCCATAAAATTCACAATTTTGGTAGAGGACTCAATGCTGATTACAATCATGCAAATAGTTTGACTGCTTGATGTCCAGGAGTAAAGAAGAAGATTTTCAAAGATTGCATTAATTTTAGTGGTTTTGGCCCCACCCCTCAGGCCCCGGGGGGCAGGGATCATTAAATTCACAATTTTTGTTCCCCTTCACCCATAAATGCTTTGTGCCAAATTTGATTGAAATTGGTTCAGTGGTTGCAGAGAAGAAGCTGAAAATGTTCAAATGTTAACACACGACGCACGACGGACGATGCACAACGGACGGCGACAGATGAAAACAGATAGCAATAGGTCACATGAGTTTACTCAGGTGACCTAAAAATATACTCAACATTTGAATTTCTCGCTGCCTTATATGGTTGCATTTTTACTAAAGTCCCTGTAGCCTCATTGTGACGCTAGTGCACTTTTCTCCATGTATATTTCTACGCGTGGGTATACATGAAAATGGTTTCAAATCTATTTCACAGTTTGCTTAGTAGAAAAGCACAGTTAATGTAAATATACGAATATGACCAATTACAATATAATTGTTATTGAGAAGATTTTTCCTATATATTCTTTTGTAAGACTTTGATTGCCCACCTAGCCCCAGGGGGCTCATTATTTGAACAAACTCGATTCTACACTACATGAGGATGCTCCCAAATAAATATAACAAATTAAGGCTTAAGTGTTCTTGAGAAGAAGATTTTTTTCTTTGCATTCCTATGTAAAACAATTATCACCCATTATGGCCCCACCCTACCCCTGGGGGTCATCATTTGAATAAACTTATATCTTAACTACCTGAGGATGATTCTATTAAAGTTTGATGTATTCTAAGTACCGTAATTTCGGGAATATAGGTCGATGGGGTATATAGGTCGAAAGGCTCATTTTCAGCCTTAAATTTTGAAAAATCCTAAGATAGGTCGAACTTACTATATAGGACGAGGCTTTGTTTCCCGTTTTCTTAAGATTTTAACGCAGATACAACGTATCAGAACAGGTAAACCCCTAAAATTATCGGGGTTATTCCGTGACATGAACGTATCAAGAAAATAAACAGGTATTTTAATGAGTACAGCAATTAAATACTGTTTTGTAAAAAAATGTAGTTAAAACTTCTTTGAATTGTGTAACTACTTATTTTTCTCCAACTTGCCTGTTCAATGCCTCCGTAGTTTCACACTGTTGTTAAATCAGAGGCATAAATAACACGTAAATACGTTATTATTTTACAGCTATAAATCGGGAGATACCCGAGACCAAAGAATAGTAATTCCGATATCAGAACAACTTGGACACATTCCTAATAAATTTTACTCAAACATTATTTACCGGTGGACGACAATTACTTCGATGTCCGCCATTTTTATTTTTCTTCTCCAGGGATTTGCTAAAACACGCAAATGACCATTGAATGTATATATCAAGCAACAGTAAAGAATTGAAATCATATTAACACTCTATAAGTTTAATTTATAAATTTTAATTGAGAGTACATTCACAATTTGACTTTCAACATGAATTTCACGACATTGTTTGTTCAATGATGTGTAACACTAATACCCTATAATGGCACGTGGGTTTCTTAATCATGCCCCGCAGGCATTTAAACCAACAGTGAACACAGGTGTTAAACACCTTTGCGTACACAGTGTACGGTAAATCCCTTTATCTGTCAGACAATTAAAATTCTGTTAGAAGCCAATCTGTGTATACCGGTAAATAATTAATTAATATTTAAAAAAAAAAACAGTAATGACTTTTTTTTTTTAATTAAATTTAGGAATTGAATTGATTATTTCACTCGTTTAACATTTAAATAAACATAAGACAATAAAAAATATTTGATATACTATTTCAATTTATCGCTACTAATAAATGGTAAAAACACAACAGTTGTGATCGTGAAAATTTTCCGTATTTTAAATTTTGATACGGTTGCGGTTTTACTTTTAGCCCATATTTTCAAAATTACAAATACACGATCGCGACTTCCTAACTTCACAAGATGGATATCGCATGATGTTAATGGATAATACGTTAAGGAATTATTTAATAGATATAGCAACGTTGTTTTCCTTTGTCATCAACAGATAATTAATGGAACTTATTTTCTAAGAAAGCTATAGAATAAATATTTTATTGTTTACTGGAGCATTAATTTTTTTGCGAAAATAATCAAAAAAGTTACGAAAGTGGCACAGATTTGCTTTGAAATTGGCGTAAATTATATTGATTTGGGGGCATTTTTCGTAAACTTGAGCCTTAAATAGGTCGAATTCTGAATATTGGTCGACCCCAGCGGTTCTGTTTACAGAAAAAAAGTATCGACCTATATTCCCGAAATTACTGGTAAGTAGTTCTTAGGAATTGAAAAAGATTTTAAAAAGATTTTATTATTTTTTCACTAATTCATAATTTATAATCTCCCCTTTGAAGAAGTTATGGCCCTTCATTTGAATAAACTAGACCCTGCATTTCTTGAGAAGGAGTTGAAAATTGAAAAGTTCACAGACAGACAAGATGATTTTATTATTTTAATTCATAATTTATAATCTCCCCTTTGAAGAAGTTAATTTGAATAAACTAGACCCTGCCTTGAGAAGGAGTTGAAAATTGAAAAGTTGGACATAATGTGATCAGAAAAACTCACTTGATGCTCAGGTGAGCTAATAACAATGTTTTCCAAGTTTAATATTTTTTAACTGATAATATTTTTGACTGATTCTGGGACACTAATATTAACTGACCTGGTCGATTTAGTACAACATAGAAGTCCATGCCATAAATTCCAATGGAGGGATCATATTTAATTCCCAAGTCAATGTGTTCCTGGATACCAAACCCAAAGTTTCCTGTCTCTGAAAAGTTCACTTTTTTCAACTCATATTCTCTAACCTGCAAAATAAACAATTTTATAAAATCAGCTAAAATAATGTAATAGTAATGTGTATTTTGTTCAGTTATCATAAACAGTATAGAGTGCAAGGAATATATCAGAACTTGGATATCAGGCCAGTTTTCCCAAAATAATGCTGGAGGGCATTTTTCTTTCCCTTTTTATCTCATAAACCAGAAGTCTCTGACGAGACTGCAGCTCTACTGGTTTGTACTTAAAACAAAGAAAGAGAAAAGAGAGTGAATTTGATAGTCACTTTCACCTAATGATCCTAATCTAGTAGTGATTTTTTAAATACATTGTTTAACCAGAATTTTGTCATACAATGTTAGTTTATACATGCCTTCAAGCAAATCACACAAAAATAATATTTAAATATTAATAGTTCCCTCATATGATAGATATAAAAATCGTTCGGTTTATATGAAGAATATAGTAAGTACTGAGGTATACCCCTAAACAATGACAAACTGTAGCAAAAGACCACCCTTAACCAGAAAAACAACTTCTGAATAATTTTATTTGGATATGACTGCACTTCATAACATTTAGATAATTTTGGTTAAAGGTGGTCTTCATATAATAATTGTTGAAAATTTGTATTTA